TACTGACAATTTTTATTTTAGATTTACATTGATGTATGTTGGCATACCATTGTTCAAATAAATTAATATAACTCAAACACAGCAGAAATCTTGTTTAAATGGCAGTATATTGTGGGATTCTTGGTAGAATGTGCAAAATATACAATTTTCAATGTGTTACAATAAACAGAAAGTAGTATTCAGGTTTTCTTTGTTCTTCTTTTGTTTGTCATGGCAGTATCCTTTGAACAAAGATTAAAAACTCAAGCAAAATAGAATATAGTTGGTACTTGAAGAAAGGAGTTGTGAAAAAGACTTTTTATAATTTTTATTAAAACAAGCATAAGCACTTAGCTTATATGTTTAAAATATTCTTTTTAATGCATTTTGAACTGAAATTGTTATTTTGCATTATGATCTTCAAAATAAAAATGTGCCATGTAAATAAAGGCTATAATGGAACAGCATGTAATTAAATATTTCACTCTTCTCACGTGAAGTTGATGGACTTCCACCTGATCTACAGAGTTCTCATTAGCTTTAACAATCTCAACTTTCATTTTTGCAGATGCAACTTCCCTGGTGAAATGTCACAGAAATGTGGAAGATTCTTCACTGAAGTCATTCACACTTCTTAATGATTACATTTTCAAGGAACTGACCTTCTGCAAATCCTTTCCAAAGCTTGAACTTCAGTCCATCACATTACAGCATTGTTACAGCTTCAATTAAATTGTGTAAATCATTTTGATACATGTTCATTTAAAAATTATATATCTTAATTATTCAAGAATGGTTAACTTCCCCTTAAACCTTACTTTTAAAAATAATAATTAAAAACACAACACAGTGAAATGCCGTCTGTATGGATTTGCCATGCACATGTTTGTAGTCAAAGAATAATAACAAAAGACAGATTTGCTTCTGTAAAATTTAGATATAATCTGTTTGTTATTGGGGAATAAGGAAAGGCAGTGCTGTATATTTTCTGTTAAGTACTTTCACTTCCCTGTATTCCATTTTTCCAATAGCCTGATTGGTAACAACTATGAAATTAGGCTTCTCTTTTCATATTCAAGTTTCAATCATGTTCAGAAAAATAAAACACAGCCCTAATGAGCATATTGCCTTAGAATTAAGAAGGTGAAGGACATTACTCATTTGTCAAACGTAGATATGCTTTGTCCCCTAAAAACTTTCCATTTTTCTAAACTCTGATAGTTAAGAGAAGCAGTGTCTCATTAGGAGTGGAATAAGTACACGCAGAAGTAAAAATGAAAGTAGGAGGGAAGTCAAAGAATTACCACCAAGTAGTAAACCACCATAACAGGTTAGGGCCAGCTAAGCACACATCATTTTAGCTCAGTACATTTCAGCATAGTACAATGTGATTTTTTTGATATCTTGGACTCATCTAAGAAACTGTTTACTCTGTGTCATATATTGGCTTATTTGGCTTCAATTGCCTTATTATCCTTAACTCAATTGAAGAGCATAATGATTTTGAGAATGATTTCTTTAAAATGATTCAGATTATTTTTGAATGGCTTATTAAAACGTAAGTTTTGGTATTGTAGAAAGCTCAATTCTCAGTAATAACTATGATGTTACTGTAGCTTGGACACATAGGCCCATTGTGCATTGGATATACCTTGAAAACACACAAAACTCTTCTCAAGTGAAGTTTTTTTCACACAAAAAAACTTTCTATGGAACAGAGATTCATCATAAGTTACTTAGCAGAAGTTTATAAAGCATCTGAAAAACACTTCCTCTGTAAACCCTAAAAATCACTGTCTGATATGTGGGAGGAGAAAAGGCTTGGCCAGTAGAGCAAAGGCTTATTTTAGCATAAAAAGAGAGTACTGTGAGAAGGTGTCTTCATATGAAAGGAAAAAGAGAGAAATGGGCAATTGCTAATCTTAACTAAAAATTAATGGACTTCTGTGATCCAAAGAATAAAATAAACTCAAAGAAACATGACAAAAAAAATTAGATAAAGAGTTAAACTAAGAAATTGACCTTTATAAACAATGAATTTTTCAGTTATCCAATGTGCTTTTTAAAGATAAAGTTTAAAAGAGGCAAAAAGAGGTGAAAAAAATGAACATGTGTACTTAGAATATATATTGGTTTTGTATGTAACTTCTTAGTTTTTCTGGACAGTTTTCAAATTGAAAGTCTTCAAAATTAATTTAGGAAAAATAGTAAATAAAATTTTTTTTCAAATTATGGTAGAGGGCTGTAGCAAAGAGAAGTGAATTTTGGGAAAACTAACCAATTCTGTTTTTCATAAATGTGTGTTAGAAAGCTAGCAATAGCATATAGGGAAGCATCCTGGAGGACTCATGATTTGAAAGAATTATTTAAGAAGTTATGATATCCTTGTCTGCCTTTCCCCAACCTTGTGATGAACTATAGAAATGCTCCTGTTGCTTACAAGCTCTTTCTTTCCTTGTATTCACATTTGGATATCTGTAAGCTTCTAATCCAACTGGGTTCTGCTTTGTGCTTTGACGAAAGGTATTAAAACCTACTCTAGCCTAAAACTTTCTCATGGTAAATATTGGAAGTTGGATTATGCAAATCTATTTCCTACATTCTTTATTTTTAATTCAAAATTAGATTATGGCATCCAATTTAATTAAAACAAGAAGTCACAATATATTGATTTATGCTATAGTTTCATGTGTAATATGTTTTCTCCTAATATAATATATATACAATTTCCATGAAGGGAAGAAAATATTTTCTCCACTTATAACTCATTTTATTTCATATTTTAATTTTTAGTATTACTTCATTCAGAATAGAAAATAAGTCAGCGATATACTAAATAATGGGGCTATTCTTTTAACATAGCAGTAAATTAAGACATAATTTTTGTTAAGAATATGACAAGTCATCTCACTTACTTATCCAAGGCGTTAGGTATTACTAATCCAACTGTATTTCAACTTGAAGGGACTCTTTTGTTTCATTTCAAAATAATGCATTACTTTTTTCCTGTTTGTTTCTGCATGAAGCTTTATACAGCAAATGAATATATGTATACGGAGTTCTGGGTTCTAGTGTCAATTACATAATCAAATTTCATAAGAGGATGTTAGTTCCTGGCTATGTTGTCCTAAAATTTACACACACTACAAAATGTCTGTCAGATTGTACCTTTAATCTGTTCATAGCTTTAGGGAATTAAGTTTCTTCAACCAAATTATGAAAAAATAACTTAATAGAGTCTTCTAAAAGGAAAAAGTATGAAAAGCTTTCTGAATGATAGTACCCTTTATGCCGAAAGGGTCAAGATGCTTCAGTATGGTTCAACTTTTCCAAAGTTAATAAACATGAGATGATGAAAGCAGGAGTTTTCATCTTTATTTATTATAACACATTTGTCGTTTGAAAAATGGTCTTGCTCCAGACTGGAATGCAGTGGTGCGATCGCAGCTCACGGAAGCCTCCATCTCCCTGGCTCAAGCAGTCCTCCCACCTCAGTCTCCCAGGTAGCTGGGACTGCAAACACATGTGACCACTCCTGGCTAATCTTTGTATTTTTTATAGAGATGGAGTTTCACCATGTTGCTCAGGCTGGTCTCAAAACTCCTGGGCTTAAGCCTGATGCCCTCCACTGCCACCTCCGCATTCCAAAGTGGTGGGATTACAGGTGTGAGCCTTTGGGCCTAGCCTTTAATTATTTTTTTTTTTAGACCGAGTTTCACTCTTGTTGCCGGGCTGGAGTGCAGTGGGGCGATCTCGGCTCATGGCAACCTCCGCCTCCTGGGTTCAAGTGATTCTCCTGCCTCAGCCTCCGGAGTAGCTGGGATTACAGACATGTGCCACCACACCCAGCTAATTTTGTATTTTGAATAGAGACAGGGTTTCTCCATGTTGGTCAGGCTGGTCTCAAACTACTGACCTCAGGTGATCTGCCCGCCTCGGCCTCCCAAATTGTTGGGATTACAGGCGTGAGCCACCATGCCCGGCCCCTTAATTTTTTTAAATAGATTAAGCAGTATTTTTCATTTTATCTTATAAGACAGCTTTATCTTAAGCACCACACAATGTTACGTAGATTAAACTGTATCTTCTCCTCCCCATATTGTAAAGGGTGGTACGTAGACTGATCTGGTCAGCTATCACAGAGTAAGCTAGCCATTAATATTCTTTCATTGAAAAGTTACTTTGGCTATATATTTGTGCCAGCACAGATTGTAAACAAAATTGAGGTTGACTATCCAAATTTTAATTGACTAAATAAATTTGTTTAGATGTAAGCAAGGGCAGTATGATGTATAGACGTGAAACAAAAACTAATCAAGAGAAAGCCAACGAGTTTTTGTGGTTTTTGTTTTTTTGTTTTTGTTTTTGTTTGTTTTTTGTTTTTTGGGTTTTTTAAACCACATTGTGTCTAAACTCTTACAAGCATGCTGAGAGTCTCAAATAATTTCTCATGTTGTGGAGAAGGCAGACATGAAAATTAAGAAAACAAAAGGCAAATCATTATTTTAAGAAAATTTTCTTAACGTTCTATCTTTAAGACATCTAGTACTTTTTCCCCAGAGTTTAATAAATCTGTTTCTCCTTTAGTAATGTATTCATTTGTTGGGGTAGTCTCAATGACCATTGTTCAAATTCATAGAAAAGAGAGGTGGCCAACACAGTCATAAAAATGAGAAAGAACAATAATGCATATTTGCCATGTAACATGAGACAACATAATTTAACCTTCCAAGATGCTTTTCAAAATGTTTTAATTAATAGTTCAGCATAGTCACAACAGGACAAAACTTTACATGAGCAATGAGTTTATAGAAAGCATACAATAGATACAGCATTTTCAACTCTAGCTCTACAAACCCATTTTGATAATGACATGCCATTCAAAAGTGCAACTGATTAGTGATTATTCACAACATAAACCTTAAGCTTATTACAATTGACTTAGTAACAAGAACAAGGTGAAAACATCATATGCAGAATAAATGCCAGTTTCTTTGTGATTGAAACAGCTACAATTGTAAACAGTAGAGTGGGTAGATACATATCTTTTCCTGATATTCTTATCTTTCTTTGCATCCTGAGAAAAAGCTTTAAACACAGTATTTCCAAAAGCAAGCTAAAGAAGAAAACAAAATACCTTTTTTATTAGAAGAATATTTGATAAAACTTTCTCTTGAATCAATAGCTTATGTGTGGCTCGATGAGAGAGTGAAGTTTTTAAAAGGGACAGTCAATGTGGTAGCTACTAGCCTTATGTGGATCTTTAAGTTAATTACAATTAAATAAATTAAAAATTCAGCATCTCCATCATACTAGTCATGTTTCAAGTGCTCAGTAGCACTTGTAGCCAGTGATTACCATAATGGGCAGTACAAACTAGAGAATGTTCCCATCACAGAAAATTCTACTGGACAGCACTGTTGTACATTATAATACATATAATACAGTCTAGAGAATTCGATGGACTGCCCTATGAGATTCATCCCTCTATTTTACACTTGAGGTAACTGAAATACCAAAAAGAAAGTCACATAAGTAAAAAAGCAGTGCTAATGACAGTCTATTTATTGAGTGAAAAGGAAGGAAGACAGTTTGAAGGTCACTTTGCAGACCATAAAATGATATTTAATTAACTTCATTTATCATCACATTTAGCCTTCCCACTCTGATCATAAAATGATTCTTCAGAGAAATCAAACCAAATATATTGGCATTTCAATCTTCAAATATATAAGTGAATCATTTTAAACCTTCTGTAGGTTGTTACCGATCACTTGACTTAGAGAAGTTGCATCTGGCTAATTATCAGCTTCTCTAATTTCCTTTTACTTAACGACCTTATAAAACTAAGTCCCTTGGGAGAAGGGTCTTTGATTCATTGTTGATCAGCAGTATTTACAGTGAAAAAGACTTGAAAAAGATATAATCTCTCATTGAAATGAATGATAAATTTCTATCTGCTTGCCCAGGTTTTCCTCCCCAAATACACTGTAGCCCCTGTGTTTATCACCACATATATACAGTGTTATGATATCACTCAGAGTCTATTTTTCATTTCTTCAAGAGCCACAGTTTCCCTTAGAAGCCACATTCAAACCCTGCAAAAGCAGAAGTCTATTTTCAGACGTTGAAGTGAGGCGCCTCACCCACTAATCTAACCGTCTTCTTTTTTCTCAGTCTTTTTTTTTTTTTTTCAGATGAGGCCTCTCACTATGTTCCCCAGCCTGAACCACAGTGGCTATTCATAGGCATGATTATAGAGTGCTACAGACTCAAGTGATTCTCTAACCTCAGCCTCCTGAGTAGCTGGGACTACAGGTGCATGCCACCATGTCTGGCCAATCTTCTTCTTATAGTATGCTTTGGAAAGTTATCATCACTGTTCTTTCTGTCCTTTCAGATGCCTTTGAATATCTGAGTCTGGCAGAAGAACATAAACTTACACTTAGCCAAGACTTATACCACATGAACAGTTCGGTTAAATATACAATGGAATATAGTTTGGAGAACTTTTTGGATGTGGTCAAAGGGAACTGTCATGAGTCATATTGGTGGTAGAGCCAATTCCCCAATGTTTATAGCGTGCACCAGTTATCATTTACATAAAGTAAAACCCCGACCAACTTTCTGGTGTCACTTAATGGCTGTCTTGTTAACTCTTGTATTCTCTGTTTTTAGCATGACGCTAGGAGTTGAATAGCTATATTTGTAGCAGATCTCTATCGACAATATATTAAAAGATTAAAGAAAGGTACAATATTTCATAGTAAGCGTAAGTTTTTACTTTCTTAAGCTGGATTTCTGGGTCTATTTCATCTTCATATGTTGTTATTCGCAGTGGTTAGTCTCTAGTTATGGCAACATTAGAACACTTGATGTGCAATGTGGGTTATGTTCAGCTTTGTCACCCAAGCTGGAGTGCAGTGGCACAACCATAACTCACTACAACCTTGAAATCCTGGGCTCAAGGGACCCTCCGGTCTCAATCTCATGAGTATCTGGGACTACTAACGTGGGTCACCACACCAGGCTAATTTTTTAATGTTTTTGTAGAGACACAGCCTCCCTATATTGGCCAGGCTGGTCTCAAACGACTGGGCACAAGTGATTCTCTTGCCTTGGCCTCCCAAAGTAGTGGGATTGCAAGTGTGAGCCACTGGTACCTGGCCTACAAACATGTTGCAGTATCTACTTGCTTAAAAATAAACAAAAAGGGTTTTGTGTTTTTGTTTTTTGTTTGGATGCTTTCAAATCATTCTAGCTGATGTACCAAAATTTTTTCTATTCCTTAGCACAAAATTCTTTAAGATAATTTTCTATCACCAGTGGTTCCAGTTCTATAGTCATGTTTTCTTTAACAAAAAGTTCACCAAACAATACTTGGCAAGGCCATTAATGACCTTTCCTCCACTGAATTCGACTGGAAGTTCTCAGTCCTCATTTTAATGGATCTATCATAGTGAAACCAGCCCAATAGTCCCATAGACAGTTGTTTTTGGATAATCAGAAATTGACCCTTCTGCTGTTAAAGCTTAAAGCTTGTATTTGTTTTAGCTGAGTTTCTTCCTCAGGAAACCACCTTTAGGCCTCTCAAACAAAGTGTCAAAGGGCAGGGTGCAGTGGGTCACGCCTGTAATCCCAGCACTTTGGGAGGCCGAGGTGGGCAGATACGAGGTCAGGAGATCGAGACCATTCTGACCAACATGGTGAAATCCTGTCTCTACTAAAAATACAAAAATTAGCTGGGGGTGGTGGCTGCATGCCTGTAGTCCCAGCTACTTGGGTGGCTGAGGCAAGAGAATCGCTTGAACATGGGAGGCAGAGGTTGCAGTGAGCAGAGATCGCACCACTGCACTCCAGCCTGGTGACAGAGCAAGACTCTGTTTTTAAAAAAAAAAAAAAAAAAAAAGTATCAAAGAACTGAAATTCACGAGATCACCACATCCAGACAACGAGATATTAGACCCCTCATTCATCATGATTGCTTCCTTGCCTTTCTCACACATAGTTACATTTCTTCCCTGCTATATAAACCCTAGTTTTAGTGAGTTAGAGAGATGGATTTGACACTGAGCTTCCATCTCCCTGGCTGCAGCACCCAATTAAAGCCTTCTTCTTTGGCAATACTTGTCTCAGTGATCAGCTTTCTGGGCAGTGAGTGAGCTGCAGGACCTAGACTGAACCCCTGGTGTTTTGGTAACAATAGCTTTGGATAGACTTGAACTCCTTTTTCCTGGAAACAGTTTTGTTTTTTTTTTTGAGATGGAGTCTCGCTCAGAAACAGTTTTTTTACTTGACTTCTGGGTGTTGCTTTCTTGCCTCCTTCCTTGTACCTACTCCTACTCAGCCTCTTTTGTTGATTCTGCCTCATCTGCTCAGTTTCTGCCCTTGGAATGATCTGGGCCTCAGTCTTTAGATACCTTTTCTTTATATTTGGAGTCACTCCCTAGATGGTCTCTTCACAATGCCAAACAATATTTTTATGCGGATAACTGTCAAATGTGTATCTTTAATCTGGGCTGATTGGAGATATAAATTCATATTCACTAACTTCAAATTCATACATACATTTAATCTCCTACTCAATTTACTACTGGAAGATTTTATTATCTATGGCATAACAAACCCAAAACATGTGGTAGGAATACAACTCTTCAACTATTCCTAAACATTCTCTATATTTCCTAGGGATCCCACATCCCCAATAAGTTAAATTGGGATCATATGCATAGCTCTGGCAGTTAAAAGCATATTTACCTGCTTCATCTGTCTCCTGTCCTACTATAGGTACATGGAGACCATGTGTTCCACATAGTGTATGCATGAAGTGAAGGAAAAATAATCAGCATATGTAAGACTTTATGTAAACTCGATCAAAATCATAGAAAGATGCAGCACTGAGATTTAAAGGCTATTTTGTTAGCTTGCTTAGCATATCCCAATATACAGTTTGATAACGTGAAGTGAGGGTGCTGCTCTAAAACATACCTAAAATCTGACACAGTATCAGCAACTCATTAATGGCAGATATGGAAACTGATATCATAGGTTTGAAAAATTAAGAGGTATTTTATTAAATGACAAAATAAGTGGTAAAACTGGCATCTGCAACAGCTTGGGATTCAGACCATGTGCCTAGAGCTCCTAGAAGAAAGGCTGGAAAAGAGCAGATTGGCAGGCAGTATGTTCAGGTTGCCGTTGATTGCAATTATCCTTTCTCTGTTCCTCTGCTAACTGTTGGATTTGTATGGGGTGAATAATAACTCTTCTTTTCAGTTAATAGGTCTGTGAATGAAGAGTAGCTTGGTTGGGCATGGTGCCTCACGCCTGTAATCCCAGCACTTTAAGAGGCCAAGGCAGGCGGATTACTTGAGGTCGGGAGTTTGAGACCAGACTGGCCAACATGATGAAACCCCCATCTCTACTAAAAATTCAAAAAAACTAGCCAGGCTTGGTGGTGGCACCTGTAGTCCCATCTACTTGGGAGGCTGAGGCAGGAGAATAGCTGGAACCCGGGAGGCAGAGGTTGCAGTGAGCCAAGATCATGCCACTGCACTCCAGCCTGGGCTACACAGTGACACTCCGTCTCAAAAAAAAACAGTGGCCACATTATATCTGATGAAGACTAGTAAATGTATCCTGCAAAGCCTGTTCTTTGTGCTGAGTGCAGTTACTAGTAGAGATTTGGGGTTGTCTCTAATGAGAATGAGTTGAGAATAGTCTATGTTTTTAAGAAGAGATCGAAGGATAGACTATGATAGAGGCAGTGCTCACCAAGTACTATAAACGCTTCCTTATGTTTACTAACCTTCCTTGCCTTATGTTGGTGGTAGTCTGTGACTAATCCTGGCCAATGGACTTCAGTAGAAATGATGTGTGCCCCTTCTGAACTGAGGCAATTGAAAGCTGGGATGTATCCTTTATCCTCTTCTGTTTTGCAATGTTGGAGGCAGTTAAGCTGTATCAACATTCTAGATGACAGGGCTACAGAATAGAGCGGTGCTGTGCTACAAGCATTGGACTTGATTCTCGATTTATTACACTATGTCTCTGAGATTTAGATTAAAACTGTTAACACATAATAGCCTAAGCTATACTGATTCAGGAAAGGTCCAACAAATCTCTATTTCAATCTTTCTCTTGTACTTTCTTCTCCAGTTATCCTTGGCTCAATAAACAGAAACTGTCCTTTGTTCCTCGTTGCTCAAAACAAAAACCTTGGAGTAATTTTTGACACCTGCCTATTTTTTATACTTCATGTGTAATTCTTCAGCAAAATTCGTTGACTTTTATTCAAAATATATCCCGAATCAGACCAGCCTGACCAATATGGTGAAACCCATCTCTACTAAAGATACAAAAATTAGCTGGGCGTGATGGTGTATACCAGTAATCCCAGCTACTTGGGAAACTGAGGCAGGAGACTTGCTTGAACCCCAGAGGCAGAGGTTTGCAGTGAGCTGAGATTCTGCCATTGCACTCCAGCCTGGGCAGTGAAACTCCATCTCAAAAAAAAAAAAAAAAAAGTCACTAAATTCCCTCCCTCCTACCCTCCACTTCATCTTCTGCCACTTTATCCTTCAGCCTTACTAGCCAAGTCACTTAGCAGTTGGGTTATTTTCAGCACGAAATTTAACCCTTCTGAGATGCAGTTTTCTCGTCTATAAAAAAAGTCATATTAATAGCCATCATATGGGATTCGTGTAGAAAATAATTGTAGTAATAATGATCAAAATAATTTTTTTAAGTTAAGCTTACATAGTACTTACTACATACCAGGAATTATTTTAAATTAAATTAATTCATATACTCCTCTCAACAATCCCATGAAAATTAATATTATTATCCGCATTTTTAGGCAAAGAAAATGAGGCAGAAGAAATTAGATAACTCTCCAAGGTTGCGTAAGTAGTCAAAGTTAAAATTTGAACCCAGGCAGTCTAGCTCTAGAGTCTGAATGCTTAATAACTATATTTTGAGACATTAAAATATAAAATGTCTGGTATGTGTTCAGGGCTTGACACTGGTCCACCTTCTTCCCTCAGTAATATTGTGAAAATATGATTTTACAGAAGTTAAAGACAAATCTGGTATAGGGGACAAGTAAAAATAAATATGCCTTAGGAAATCTCTCATCACTACATGAATAAAGAAACAGTAATACGATAATTTTCAAAAATAAAAACAAAGGCAGTAAGAAACAATAATTTCCTAGGAAAAATTATCCAAAAGCATAATCCAAAAAAGTAATCTTTCTAAAATAAAACGCTATGAATCGAACCTTGGAACAAGTGTTATAGCAATGAAGTTTCCCCTTATGTCAGAATAGATTCTGTGAAATTTCAAATTGACTTAAAATGGATTCTTTCTATTTGTGGTCTTTGCTGCTTCAGTGTTTAAGCCAAAATAGCAAGGGTAAGCCAGAGTTTATACAATAGGGACCTATTTTATTTAAACCTGAGAAGTGTGAACTTGCCCCCTGTTGTAAATACCAGAAAGCTCAAATACATTTATATGGTAACACTTTTATCGGAATATATTTTTTTAATATGAACCTTTTTATTGATCACCACCATAAGATTAAGAAATGTCAACTGAATCATCTTCCTCTCAGAAATAACTGCAAAAATCATCTTTTGGAAGTCAATCTTAAAACCTTGAAATAAAAGCTTACCTCGTTTGCTAGGATGAGAAGAGAATAGACCATCTATAGCATAGGACATCTCAGAATCCTTCTCCACTAGCTGTTCTTTTAGTTTTTCCAGCTGATAAAACTGTAAAATGATAATTAATTAGTCTTCTATAAAGCCATGCTGTTGGCCAGGCGTGGTGGCTCATGCCTGTAATCCCAGCACTTTGGGAGGCCAAGGTAGGCAGGTCACAAGGTCAGGAGATGGAGACCACCATGGCTAACACAGTGAAACTCCACCTCTACAAAAAATACAAAAAATTAGCCAGGCATGGTAGCAGGGACCTGTAGTCCTAGTTACTTGGGAGGCTAAGGCAGGAGAATGGTGTGAACCCAGGAGGTGGAGGTTGCAATGAGCTGAGATCGTACCACTGTACTCCAGCCTGGGCAACAGAGCGAGATTCCATCTCAAAAAAAAAAAAAACAAAAACAGCTGCTCTTTGTTGAAGAAGAGGAAAGATGAAAGAAAGAAAAAAGGAGAAAAAATGGACAAAAGAAAGGAAGAGAGAAAAAGGAGGAAATGGAAACAAAGAAAGAAAAAAAACAAAAAAGAGAGAAGAAAAAAGGGAACATTCATTTAGGGGCTGACTAGGAAAGGTACATGACTCAACAAAAGATCAGAAAGAAATAGGTTTTGGGCAAAAGGAAGTCACCTCTAGCTGTTAATGGGGAACCTGTAGATACAGCCTGTGTACTTGAACTTTATTTTGTGTCACCTATAATGAGCAGGTCTTTTCAAGGAGCTACAAATTATTATGTCAATGCTTGGATTTCCTGAATTTTTTTGTCTTTTCTAGTTGGAAGGAAAAAGTATTTTGAGGCCCTAAGATGTCTATCTAGAATTCTACTTATTTTAATTTTTAACAAGGTTATGAATTGCCTTAAGCCCTGAAGAACTAACTACAAAAGTAGGGTTCAGCCTGAACCACTGTTTATCTCCATGTTGGTGCTACTCAGAAGAGAATGATGAGAATAATTCTCTCTCCCAAACGGCCATACGGTTTGCAGAATAATGGAACTGCACAGAGAAAATGGTGTTGCTAGGGGCCCCCATCAAGAAGGCAGCACTTCAGGCTCTTCAAACCAGCTGCTTCAAGCCAAACAGCTCTGCTTTTACATGTTTCATTTGCTGGAAAAACACAACATTTGGGGGAGAAAAGATTCCCACTGTTTAAAAACAATAACTTCAAAAACATCCATCTATTTATAGCCTCCCATTTTACAGATGAGGAGATTTCAGTCTAGAGAATTTGTTTGCCCCAGGTTTCATAGTTTGGTAATTGCAAAACTAAAATTAGAATCCAGATTTCTAGACATTATATAGAAAGATCACTTCAGCCATAGTTTTGTTCTGTTTTGTGTTAGTATAATTTGATTTTTCTTTTCCTGTAAAATAGCTTCACCCTTTGTTTAGCAGGAATAGAAGTTTTACATTGTAGTATTAATAATTTCTTTTAAAAAACTTTGTGCCAAGAAGAAATTCCCTTATAATTGTTATTAAAATTGATCATTTAAGTATTTCACATTCTCACCTGGTTAAGTTCTTCCAGTTTGTTAGGCAATGCTAGATCTGCAAGACACATTTGTCATGTGAAAAAACATATATCGCAAGTGATATTTAATTTGCTTCAGTACATACGTTTAGGATCTTATGTAGAAAGCACAGGTCTTTTTCGTATGATTTGACATCATCCACCCATTCCTAATACAAAATCTCCAGTATATTTTTTCAATGCCCATAGTATTGAAATGCAATCAGTTATGACATCTGAAATATCTAACTTTCAACAATAAGTACAAAGTTTTTCTAAAGTAGACCATAGTTCTAACATGACCTATGATTTAGAAATAAACCATTTTTGCTGGCATGTGGAAATTCTCATAAAACATTAAATGGGAAGAAGAAAAGCAGGCCATGTATCCTATGCATAATTCAATCAAGAAGAAAATTCTCCAAAATACTAATGCTAACTTGCTCCAGGTCTTAAAATTTGGGTACAAATTTTTTGTTTTTATAAATTTCACTTATTTTTCAATAGGAATATATTACTTTTAGTTTAAAAACCCTGAATTTTAAAAGTATTTATGAAGTTATTCTTTTAACTGGCATTTTGCGGTATGAATACAGACATTTTTAGACTACTTCAGATGTTGTATGGGAGAGTAGCACAGTATCATTTGGTCACATTTTCTCTTAGGCTAGACTTGCTAAATTTCTGACAAAATCTCAGTCATTTCTTGGAAGACAATCTGATGGATATTTGTAAGTCAGATTATTCTGTTCTTCAAATAAAAATAATCTCAATTGGTGTAGCCTAAATTTTTCGTTCATCATCTATACTCTAATCATTTCCTAAAATTGAAAGATTTTGATTAAAATAATGCTAAATTAACTACAACAAAGCTGCAGTTAATTTGTGAAATTTCTAGAAGAAACCTATGAATATAACATTTTTGAAACATTTAATAAAAGAAAATACTGGGGGTACTAGTGGAGAATTGCACAGATGAGAAGAAAACATGAATAAAGGTAACCATTTTTTTTTAACTATATGGTTACCAATCCCATTAGGACCCTCGAATTGACCAAAATAGGCTTTTAATATTTGTTAATAACTCCATGGATTTAACATAAATAAAAAACAAAAAAAAAACACTTAAATCTTTAGTGTAACATACAAAGGAGTAATTATTTCATTTAATATCAATTAACATTTAGAAACAGCAAGTCTCAAGACAAAATAGATTCTGTTATTTTTTAATAAATAGAGCTTGACTTTATCCTTAACTCACCAGTGTTGAAAGGTCTTTGGAAATCAAAATTTTTATTCAGTAGAGCCAGCAACAGTTCCTCACGATTTGGATAATTTTTATCTGGAAGTATTTCGTTTCCTGTAATGATCAAAAACCACCATTTTCAATCTGAGTCACCGAAAATATTTCTAATTAAATTGGTCTTGCAGGCAACTATCAATTTGTATATTTAACAACAAAAGAAATGTAGAGAGAGTGTATAATCCAAAGGGATAGGTCATTAAAAAAAAGCATTGAATATATATTGAATGAATACGGACAAAGAGAGACAGACACAGAAAGACAGAGAATATATGCATATACCTGGAGGGTTGCAGTTTTTCCTGTGATTACTTCTGTGTAGGAGAATTGGAGGTGAATTTTACTTTCTTCTTTTTAATCTCTGTTTCTAGAATGTTCTACTATTTCATTTAACATAAGTATAAACTAAAAGTAGTTTTCAAAAGAAAAAAATAACATTTTATTTTGTGATTTTATTTGATATACACATTTATGTATAAGCCAGTTCATGTACCATGAATTTCCTTTAAAACATCCAAGGAAGATTGTGGCAGAGCTAGGATGGTGTCAACCTCTTCCGAATTGACATGTTTTCATCTTTGTCAATTTACCTCACAGTCATTCATTCCTCAGCTGCCTAAATGTCTCAGTACTATCATTATCTTCATTCTGGAGTAGAAATTGAGACAAGAGACTTCTAGCAAGCTATAAAACATGAAGATTCAAAAAATATCCATTGACAAATAATTCAATTGAAATAATAATGAACTTTAGTGAAATGGCCTGAAAAATCAAACCTTTATCACATAATTTCTGTAAGATCATTTTTTCTTCTCGCTGCCTTCTTGTACTGTTAGAGTGTGAGTAGAATCAATATTAATAAGATTTAAGTTTAGGAGTGAGTACATGGTTTCAGCTAGAGAAACGACTTATAAGTTGATTAGACTATTTCTTAAAATCACCTGTCTTTCCTGTCTCTACAAAATGTTAGTTGATAAATTCAAACAGTTACATGGCTAATTAAAAAGGAGAAAATGAATAATTTGGGGTAGGTGACAGAATCACAATTTTCTACATTAACCAAAGACACTTAATTGTTGCTCAATTCTTCCATTTTCTTTGCTTCATAAACATAAAAGTTATTGGTGAAATTTTCTTTTGAGTATTTAAAATACCAATAGATTATCAAATTTTGCTCAGCGTCAATTTTACAAAGACTCTCAGAGATAGTTCAGTTTAAAAGAAAGACATTATTATGAAATAATGTAATTTTTATTTTAATCATTCATTAAAAATGTTAAATTGTAATCTTTAAAATGTTTTCATTGAAAAAAAGACAGGATATTTCAGAGCCAGATAATAATAATTACTTGTTTCAGAAAGACAACTATGATAAGAGAAACAGGTTCATTACCTTCAATTTAGAAAACGTATGTGACTAAGAGTAATCTAACTAGAAGAGTATGGATCTAAAGCTTTTTTCCCCTTAATTCACAGTCCATTCCTCTGCATAGTTAAGTGAAACATTTTTCAAAAAACAAAACTGATAGATTTGCCTTTCTTTATTAGTTTTGCTTCCAATAATTATACCTCTATAACTCTTTGTCCTCAGAAATTCCTCATCACTATCTCTTAAGAAAAAACACCTCTTTTATGGGAGTCTCTGAAGAAAAACTTTAAAAAGGAATTTTAAAAAGTTGATTTCTGAAGTTAAGATATTGGCTAAAAAAAAAGAAGCAACAGAAAATGAGTCTTTTGTTTTTTGTTTTCACACTTAGTTTTAAAACAGATATAGCTTTAAAACAAAAAATGATGTTCCTAATGTTTCTATCTTTGAACAGAGTTAACATAATAAAGGAAATATTTGAATATAAAATATCTGAGTGTAGACATATATTTGACACAAGAGATGGCAAAGCTGTTCCAACATGAGAGACCGTTTTTGCAAATATTACACAGAAAATGGTGATTCGTTACTACTCAAGATACTGAATCTTAAAAAATTTAGTTGTCTCTTTGCTTTCCATTTACGTGGCAGGATTTTGACTGCATAGAGACAAGAAATTTTACCAGAAAGAAATCTGGAAACTCCCACAACGACTATATTCCCCAAAATAAATTTCCCATAATCTTCGTGGTCATGATACTCTCTCTTCCTCCGCTGTGTTAGGCAGCTTGCCCCATGTCAGGCTCATTCCCTCAGGCACACTTTTATATGGTCCCTACCAGATGTAAGCTGGGAGGATTGTGCCATTTGTCTTGGAGAGTTCTAACACACAGAAAAAAGCTGATAACCCCAACTTCGTAGTCTATGTCAGCAGATAAATGCTTATTTTAAAATTATATTAAAAGACTAAAAGAAGTCAAATAGTGAATTTTAAAAATGTATACATGGAGAAGAGCTCACTCTAATCGTGGACTATCTAGATAGAAAATAACCTTATTAATAATTTAATCTTCCTTATTTAGATATAGTAAAACTGAGATCAAAGAGGTCTCTGAGAGAAATAGTTCCACTGTGCTGCCAGTGATACATGCATATAACTGTGTGGCATTCTGAGGTCAGAGATGTTATTTAACCGTAATCTAGCAAATGCTTTAGAGGCAGATTTTTCTCTATTTCATAAACACATGAAATTAGAAATTACAGTTACCTAATCCTAATTTTGCAAAGTCTTCAGCAAATAATCACATTTTTCCTCTCATGTTTACATTATGTTAGAAACATTGGAAATTTCGTTATTTCCTAGAAAGAGCAATGGAGACCGACCAAATGCAATGATTGTGGTTGGCCAAAGACAGAATGTGAGTGTCATGGATAAAATCCAGAATCTTTGATTCCCAGGCTTGTGTTTAGGTCCCTGAGACTACTTGTTTTTCAATGGGTAAAATCCTCATAAATAAATAATAAGGGATTATGCAATTTTATTTCCTCTGCCAACAGAACTACTCTACTTTTTATTGACTGAGGTAACAAGGTCTAGTAAAATGGAATTAGAATCAGAAATTGGAAACTTGATCTCTTTTCTCAATCTAATGTCATGTAAACAAAATTTATTACATTCTGCCTTAGTTCCCCTTAAGTAAGCTGAGAGTAAAAGGTTATCTCCCTCTTCCTGACAAGGAAGTCAGTTAGATGAGAGAAACAGCAAGAATTTCAGGCTGGAAAAGATATTAGAGAACATTACTTTAAGTCACTATTTTGGAAACATAAAGAAATGTATTAAAGTTTCAATGAGGCTAGGTTGTTTGCCTAATAAATCACTACTAAATCTCGCTCTATGAATTCTCAGTTTAAGAGCTACCTTTTCTATAGAAGAACCAAAAATTTTAAATAAAAATTATATACATTACAATATTAAGAGCAGAAACTTATTTTCACTAATTTTATCATGGTGTATATTTTCTAGCTGTCATAGATGGAATTATTTCATTTCACATAAGTATCCTAAGTATGTTGGAAATGTGATTAAAAATGTGTAATGTAGGTGTTAGCATTGCCCTCCTGAAACTGCTATGATTTCCCCCAATGCTTTATTTTCTGCAAATCTCTGCAAATACAAGTTTCTATTTTGATGTATTTTTCTTTGTTGTACTCTCTTTTCAGAAAGAACTTACTAATAGTCTTGTAAGATGAAAATCTCCTTTTCCTTTCCCCAAGAGAGAGTTCTGAAATATGAAGAATATAATACTATTGATACATTCCCAATCTTTGGTCATGGACTACAAATGAGAAACAAGCACCCCAATATTTAAAGTATAGTTGAAGTGAATTTAGTGCAATATTGGATAAAATTAATTTGGGTAAAATTAATCTACTTGAAAAGAACAGCATTGAAGATGACATTTAATTCTGACCAGCAACTACTTAAGGAAGGTTTGGCTGTTAACTAATATTTATTTCTTACAACATTATTTCAACAATGGCAGAAAAATCAAAGTTGTTCAAGTAGAAATAGAAGAATTATTTACCTGCCTGCAGGATTTTAAATTGATGTGCACGTACCTTGGGTAAAATATGGCCGTCCATGCACAGATTGTAAAAAGATCAACACAGATGACAAAGTTAGGAGTCCAAAGCAAAGAGTGCTTGAGAGGATCTTGTTCATGTTAAAAAATCTTCTGGACTAGCAAAGAAAAGGACTTTCCAGGTTAAAATGGATATTTCTATGGCTTTGGAATTCTGTACAGCTTAGTTGCAAAAGGCAAATGTGCCTCGGTTACGAATGCTCTGGATGAAGGAAAAAGAAAGAAAGAAAAGAAACCAATAAAATGCAATGCACCCTGTCCACATGATTCACTACTTGGAGAAGTGACAGGTACGTTAGAGAGTCAATGGCAGGAAGAACCCAATCAATACATCTCATACCCGCCCATTTCACTAAAAGCAGGCATTTCTAGGCATGCCCACACATTCAAATAGATGCACAAGGATGAAGCAAAATCTCTTGAAATAAAAAACTGTTGGATTTTCATAACTTATGGTTTAATTTCCTGATTCCAGGATTAATTAATCTCAAATCTTATTAATACTAAAGCTGAGCGCATAGAGGGCAGGTGAAAATGGGAACAATGTCTTTCATTTGACATCTTCCTGATAGTGATGTTATTTGCAACTATCACTTTATCTTTTTTTTTTTTTTTTGAGACGGAGTCTGGCTCTGTTGCCCCGGCTGGAGTGCAGTGGCCGAATCTCAGCTCGCTGCAAGTTTCGCCTCCCGGGTTCATGCCATTCTCCTGCCTCAGCCTCCCGAGTAGCTGGGACTACAGGCGCCCGCCACCTCGCTCGGCTAGTTTTTTGTATTTTTTAGTAGAGACGGGATTTCACCATATTTGCCAGGATGGCCTTGATCTCCTGACCTCGTGATCCGCCCGTCTCGGCCTCCCAAAGTGCTGGGATTACAGGCTTGAGCCACTGCGCCCGGCCAACTATCACTTTATTCTTAACCAACTGAATAAACTGGCGAAAACCTCAAATTTGAAATGAATCATAATGGGATCACATTACTGTCTCACTGTATTAGAAAAGGATGGCTTCATTTTGCTGCAAGCAGCACTTTTAAAAATTAAGGCTGAATTTAATTAATTCGAATCTGGCAAATGTCCCATCAGTTATTCTCTTTAATACTTGCTTTAATTTTGCTGGTTTTCCTTTTAAGTCAGTCTTTCGGCATATCTCCAATTTCAATTTTATGGCTCCAGGGATGCTATATTATAATGACCTCTGGTCTTGGCATTTACTTGTCCCAAAAGACTTGGGATGTATCCACTCTAAACTTGACTCCGTTCCAGTGCATACACTGCAGCACATGATGGCGTGAACTAAGGAGAATGACTAATCTTTGTACTAACTGGTTGCTTAGTAGAGTTTCTGAATGAAATCTACATTACTTCATTTGATATTTAGGCTTGTTTCTCCTTTACAGATTCATTTTTCACTATATATTTTTGTGTACCAGCCACATTAGACTACTAATGCATGAACATATCCTGCACTTTCTGCACTTCAGAGCGTTGCTGACATGGCTGCCTAGAATCCTTTATTCTACAACTGGCCATTTTACCTACTGATTTCTGAAGCTACCGATCAAATGCCATCAGAACTGTTTAGCCTTTTGGATCTTTTTTCTACTTTGTGTCATAACTTATTTTTCTCCTTTGGACTGCCACAACATTTTGTTTGTATATCTACTATAGTTGAAAATTCATTTCTCCTTTCATTAGTTATGTATGTGTGTGTCTGCCTCCACTATCAAATTGTAAATACTTTGAGAGCACTTACAGTCATAGTCATTTCTGTTCCTATGTGCAAGTACCATAGTGGTTTGTGGAAAAAATGAGTGAAAACATGTTTGATGTGTGACTAAGTAATAACCAAAATTTCTAGTAATTGAAAGACAAAAATATAACTCCCTTAAACTTTACATCCAGTTATAAAGCTAAATAAGCTGAAAGAATAATTGCAACACTTTGTGTCTTACTTTCTTAAGAATTCAACCATGAACAATGATGAACACAGATCCTAAAAGCTTATTCTTCCATAGCATTTCAAAACCTCTGTCATTCAAATATACCTTGATGATATCTGTCCTTATTTATTTAATAAGTTATTTAAATTAACTTTCTAAACTCTATTTTAAAACATTATATCAAGATGGAAAATAGGAAGTCAATGTCATGTGATAGAGAGAGAATATATACATATGATGAAAAATTGTACAATTACAAGTCATATACATAAAAAATAAGATATAAAATAATAAATCTAATCTATAATTCAAAATAAAAACCTGAAAATAGGTTTTGCAATGAAATTGGAAATTTAGATATGCACTGTATTAAAGACATATTCAACTTTTATTGCCTTAATTTATACTTAACTAAAAAATTAAGTATAAATAAGATTATTCCACTTTTTAAAAAGCATTGATGTAAACTGCATGAGGAAATCCAATTCTCATGGGTAAGAAGTTTTCTTGAAAGTGGAAAAATAATTTAACTGTCTTTTGATAAGGTAGAATACTGATTATTCATTTCTTTTCCTTCTTTCTTTCTTTCTTTCTTTTTTCTTTTTTTTTTTTTTTAAGATAGAGTCTCTCTCTCACCCAGGCTAGAGTGCAGTGGCGTGATCTTGGTTCACTGCAACCTCCACCTCCCAGGTCCAGTTGATTCCCCTGCCTCAGCCTCTTGAGTAGCTGGGATTACATACCACCACCCCTGGTTAATTTTTGTGTTTTTAGTAGAGATAGGGTTTCACCATGTTGGTCAGGCTGGTCTCAAACTCCTGACCTCGTGATCTGCCCACCTCAGCCTCCCAAAGAGCTGGGATTACAGGTGTAAGCCACTGCACCTGGCCCCAAAATGAATAATCAGGGCCAGGCACAGTGGCTCACACTAATCCCAACTCCTTGGGAGGCTGAGGTGGGCAGATCACAAAGCCAGGAGTTCGTATTTATAATTTTGTTTCACATCTTTTTTCCACAAAGTCTTGTTTTAAGAAATCTGATATAATTTCCAAAATATTTTTCTGCCATATTTTAGGTAATATTGGCAAAGTGATGAAAACTAAGTCCCTAGCTGTCCTTCTGAAATGAAGGAGATATAAAGACTTTCCCAGACAAGCAAAAGCTGGAGGAATTCATCACCACCACACCAGTCTTACAAGAAATGCTAAAGGGAGCTCTTTGTGCTGAAAGAACTGAGTGCTAATTAGTAACATGAAAGCAGGAATGTATAAAACTCAGTGGTAGAAGTAAGTACACAGTCAACTGCAGATACTCTAATACTGTCATGGTGGTATATAAATCACTGATATCTTTAGTACAAAAGTTAAAAGACAACACTGTTAAAAATAGTGCTTTAGATGTATAAGCTACAATAATTTGCTAAGGAATACACAACATAAAGTGATGTAAATTATGACATCAGAAACAAAATGTGAGGAGGAAAAGTAAAAGTGTAGAGTTCTTTTACATGGTCAATATTAAGTTGCTATCTGCTTAGGATAGTATGTTATAATAAGATGCTTTATTTTAGCTTCATGGTAAGCGCAAAGCAAAAACCTATAGTAGATATCAAAAGACAGAAAAATATGGAATCAAAGCATACCACTAGAGATAAATTTTAATCACAAACGAAGACAGCAAGAGACGAAGAAGCAAGAAAGGATATACGAAACAACCAAAAAACAATTAACAAAATAGTAGTAGTAATTTTTTACCTATAATTACCTTGAATATAAGTGTATTAAATTTTCCAATCAAAAGACATAGATGAATAAAGACCATACCCAACTATATGCTGTCTACAAGAGACTCATTTCACTTTTAAAAATATATATAAGTTGAAAGTGGGCCAGGCTTGGTGGCTCACGCCTGTAATCTCAGCACTTTGGTAGGCTGAGGTAAGTGAATCACAAGGACAGGAGATCGAGACCATCCTGGCCAACATGGTGAAACCCTGTCTCTACTAAAAATACAAAAGTTAGCTGGGTGTAGTGGTGCATGCCTGTAGTCCCAGTTACTTGGGAGGCTGAGGCAGGGGAATCGATTGAACCCAGGAGGCAGAGATTGCAGTGAACCGAACCCATGCCGCTGCACTCCAGCCTGATGACAGAGTGAGACTCCATCTAAAAAAAAGAAAGAAAAGAGAAAAAAAAGTAAAAGGATGGAAAAAGATATTCCATGCAAATGAATAACAAAATAAATGGGATAGTTAAGCTTACATCAGGTAAAATAGACTTTAAGACAAAAACTGCAAAATGAGACAAAAGAAGGTCATTATGTAATGATAAAGGGGTCAATTCATCAAAAGGATATAATAATGTTAAATATGTCTATACCAAATATTAGAGCAGCTAATTATGTAAAGCAAATATTAATAGATCTGAAGAGAGAGATCAGCTGTAATACAATAATAGTAGGTGATTTCAATACCCCATTTTCAACAATGGACAGATCATACAGACAGAAAATCAATAGGGAAGCATGAGACTTAAATGAAACTTTAAACCGAATGAATCTAACAAACATATACAGGACATTTCATCCAACACCAGAATACGCATTCTTCTCAGGTGCGTACCAAATATTCTCCAAGATAGGTCATGTATTAGACCACAAACAATTAACAAATTTAAGAAGAATGAAGTCATATCTTGTATCTTCTCCAATCACAATGGTATGACACTAGAAATAAATAAGGAATTTCAGAAAATTCACAAATACATGGAAATTAAACAGTATGTTTTCTAAACAGCTAATAGACCAAAGTAGAAATTAAAAGGGAAATATAAGAATATCTGGAGACAAATGAAAATGGACACACGATGTACCAAAATTTATGGGACACAGCAAAAGTAGTTGTAAGGGGCAAGTCTGTACCAATAAATGCCTATACTTAAAAAAAGAAAATATCCCAAATAAACATCTATTACATCTCAAGAAACTAAAAAAACAAATCAAATACAAACTAAGCCCAAAGTTCGTGAGAGGAAGGAAATAATAAAGATCAGAACAAAAATAAATGAAATAGAGACTAGAAGAACAATAGAAAAGAGCAAAGTAAATAGGACTTGTTTTTTGAAAAGATAAGAAAAATCCACAAAATGTTAGCTTGACTAATAAAAAAAGTGAGAAGACAAATAAAATCAGGAAGAATGTAATAGAAAAAAATTATAATTGACACCACAGAAATGCAATTGATCATGAGACCACTACAAGCAACTGTATGTCAACAAATTGAATAACTTCAAAAAATGGATAAATTCCTAATTTCAAACAACTGCCAAGCCTGAATCATGAGGAAATAGAAAATCT